TAGAAGAAACCTTCACGTAGAAACCGCCGCTCTTCCGCTCTTCCATCCTCACGGAAGGCCCTCATACACATCAACCAGATGTCAAGCGGGAATGACCAGGCAGGAACTTGTGTACGCACCTTCGCTCCATCCAGTCGTCGAACCGTACCCCAGAGATCCCGAAGAACATCCTCATATTGGCCTACGAAAAAGGAGGGGTAATCCTAGTCCAGAGGGTAATTCGGATCCTGGGGGTCATTCAAGTCCTGAGGGTAATTCGAGTCCTGAGGGTAACTCAAGTCCTGAGGGTAATTCAAATCCTGAAGGTAATTCAAGTCCAAGGGGTAACTCAGGTCCTGGAAGTAATTCAGATCCTGGATGCAATTCAGGTCCTGGGCGTAAGTCGAATCCTGGATGTAGTTCAGATCCTGAAGGTGGGTTCTCCGAGTAGCTGGGCCCGAAGTCGTCGAGGACACGCTGACGATCCTGTGGGGCATGTGGTACGTCACGAACTAGGTGAGCGACCTCAAGAGGCTGTTCTCGGGGCCCTCGCAGCACTAGAGTCGCATGCATTCCGCCTTCCGCCCCAGGCAGACTCATGTAGTCAATCCATTCCTGACAAGTCGGGGGGTGCACTGAGGAGACAAGAAACTGCCCTTTTGGGGGTCCCAATTGGGTGCCCGCAATCTCCCGACTCAATCGCCAGACTTCTCTCCAAATGTGTTGGGTCTCCGCAACAGCAAGTTCGTCCGCCTATCCATCCTGGGCGCGTCTCAGTTCACGTCAACTTACTTTGCGGAGGCGCTTCAGAACATGAACGAATTCATCCGCCAATTGAGAACCAGCAGCAGCCTCGTCAGGGGGTAGGTGTCGCCGCCGCCACATTTCTGCACGAAGGTCTTTGTATCGTTGATGCGTCGGCTGGGTGTCCTCAGCCAGTGGACACGGACGAAAGGCAGTCGATGTCGTGGCGTATCTCTTTGCAGCCAAATCGTAGAGCCCTTGATTCAAAATATGCCAAGCGTTATCAACATAACCATGCCAGCAATGATGATGATGCTGATGCTGATGCTGATGCTGATGCTGATGATGATGCTGCTGAGAGGAGAGGAACGCGGGGCACTCTCTCCTCAAAACGAAGACTCCACGCCACAGGATGGTTGGGAAAAGACCACGGCGCACCCCGCGTTCACGCTGAAAACGCGAACCCGTGAACGCAGAACGCGCGACCGTCGAGATCCCGTCGGCGGCGACGACGTGGGCGACGAGCCCTGGGGGGAAACTGAACGCATTCGCCGGGGGGCCTCGCCGAAGACGTGGATCGTCGGTGCGTGGGCGCCCCTGGGACCCAGGCCCTGGGATGCGCGCGGGCCCCAATTCTCGACGCCGGCGCTGCTCGCAGAGGAGCGCGCCGGGCACGCGAGGGCCTGGGGGGGCCCTCGCTCTGGCCAGACTCGGCGCGCGCGCCCCCAAAGCGCCGACCACGGCATCCTCTGGCCTCGTGATCCCAGTCGACCGGAGCCTCGCCAGGCACTATTCGCCCCGCTCGTCGCCTCCGACCCCCGCGTACGCGGACGCACCCAGCACGCGGTGGGCACTGGGGGGACACACAGGGACACGACAGAATACTCGGAGGCCCTCCCGGAGTCCTCGGATCGGCGCTGGACCCTCCTCCCCGGCGCGCAGAGCGCGCCAGGGACGGCGCCGGAGCCGCCGACAGGGGGGCCCAGCGCGGATCCGAGGAATCTGCGCGGAGCTCAGAGCGTTTATGTTCAAGCATCTTTTTTTCGGTGGGACCCCATCCATCAGGACCCCACCCTTGAACTGGCCATGTTCTTCCTCGCAGCTTCGGCCTCAGACAGGGGCCTCGCGCACTGGAGCCTGCTCAGGACCTGATCGGGCTTGCGGCGTCCGTCCTGCCACCCTCCGCTCGGGAGGGCGCGCCCCGCGCCACGTGCTCGCCTCGCGCCAAGAGCTCTCACGCGTCGGAGCGGCCTGACCCCTGCTAGACATGCGCGCTCCACTACTCGCAGAGTAACTACGCACTCGCAAAATAGCCTAGATCCGCCGCGGAGGATTCACGACCCACTACGTCGAGGCAAGCATTTATTTTCCTGACCTGACCTTTGCGAGTAGGCACTTTGCGAGCAATGGAACGCGCTCGGTGACAGGCACAGACACACACGGCGGGGTCAGAAAACCCTGAACCCCAAAATGGTGCCACCTCTTGGGGGCGCACCTCTTACTTCCGCTGGCTCCCGCCATCCTTCCGCTGGCCTTCCGCCGCCTTCCGCCGAAAGAGGCGGCCTCGTGTTACTTCCGCCGCCTTCCGCCGGCCTTCCGCCGCCGCCCGCCGAGGAAGAGACGACGACGACAACTCCTTCGGTCCTCGAATGCGAGGCCCTGTCTGACTGCCGGCACCAGACCATCCCAACCTGACCCGGAGACCCAGATTTCGGGTCACGGGAGAGGGGGCGGCTTCCACGTGCTTTCGCTTCAATGTTCCGCGATGCCCCCCCCCACACTACGACTGGACGGCAGATTGGAGCCTTCGGGTTGAAATCGGGTGGTTTGGTTCTGTGGGTGGTGACCTTCTGGATAGCCTCGCTGGGCGGGGCGGACGGAAGAACGCCGGAATCTTCCCAGAGGACGGCCCTCGCGGGGCTCGGCGGGGGCGCTGGAGCGCCAAACACTCAGCGCTCGCAGAACATGAATACCGGGGGGGTGATCTGCAATCGCGTCAGACACTATGGAAAACAAACTTACTCCAAAACCAGCCGCATGGGGGGGCGACGCCGAGGACATGTCGACAAGGACGGTGGCAACGGCGACGGCGACAACGACGGCGGCGGTGACGACGGCACGGACGACAGCAAGGACGACCACGACAGCGGCGATGGCCGCGACAGCGGCGACGACGTCTGCGACGACGTCGGCCCAGAGAAGCCCAGGGGGGTCGGCGGAGAGCGAGGGGGCGAAGTGGAAGGAGAAAGCCTTCTCAGAAGGTCAGGAAGTCCCCCGGCCTTCTGAGAAGCTTTCTGAGCCTGCCCCGAAGACACAGAAAATTCCTCAGCAGGCGCGAGGGCCTCTGAGAAGTCCTGCAGCCTCCTGAGAAGTCCTTCTCTTTCCCACTTCAACCCCTCGCTCGCCGCCGAGATGTGCCGGCGTCGGTTCCACGAGCCATCCAGGGGGGAGCGCAGGAGAGTGGTGGGCTTTTTCTCCACCACCACCACCACCACAAGAAGTAGGAGGGGGAAGGGATCCTCCTCCTCTTCTTCCTCCTCGTCCTCCTCCTTCTCCTCCTCCTCCTCCTCCTCCTTGTCCTCCTTCCCCCCTCCAGCTCATGGTGGTGGTGGTGGTGGTGGAAGGCAGGCCAATCAGAGGGGGCGCGGCCCGCCGACTCTCGCTTGAGAGCTGGCCGGCCGAGGCGCTGCTTTCCCGCCCTCCCCTGCACCCACCCATCCTCGGGCGGCCTGCCTCGCACGAGAGGCGAGCGTACACACACGTAAGCAGCAGGGCATGAGCGAGACATCCGGGCAAGGGGCCTCCTCGTGATCATCACCATCATCATCATCATCATCATCATCATCATCATCATCATCATCATCATCACCATCATCATCATCATCAGCATCACCATCAGCATCATCACAGTCGTCGTCATCATCATCATCGTCATCATCAGCATCGTCATCAGCATCATCATCTTCATCGTCATCATCATCATCACCACCACCACCACCATCATCATCATCATCATCATCATCATCATCGTCACCATCATCAAAATCGTCGTCGTCATCATCATCGTCGTCGCAATAATCAACATCACCATCACCATCGCCATCACCATCAGAATCCTCATCATCGTCACCATCACCACCACCTCAACCACCATCATCATCGTCATCATCATCAGCAGCAGCATCAGCATCAGCATCAGCATCATCATCATCAGCATCATCATCGCCACCATTATCATCACCAACACCACCAACACCATGATCATCATTAGCATCAGCATCAGCATCGTCATCATCATCATCATCATCATTATCATCATTGTCGTCATCATCATCATCATCATCATCATCATCATCATCATCATCATCATCACCATCAGGGCCTCCTCGTCGTCACGGCTGGACACGGCTCGAAAAATCAGTCAGGCTCGACCCCAAGAGAGGTCTGGGTGCTGATCTTGAGCGGCTGTGCCCTCGCCTCCCCTCCTTGATGACCGATCATCTGGGGGTCCATCCAGCGCAGACCCCCAGGCCGGTTCCAAAGATGGCCCCGGGGATCCAGCCTGCTGGCCGCGAGGCGACTCAAACATCGCCGACGTGACGGATCCTGAGATCATTCAAGAAATCTGAATCGTTTGGAGAATCTGGGCCGATTCCCAAGAAATTGGTCACGATGTAGGTGCGGACGTTCTCCAGAAGCTGAGCCGGCTTTCTGGCAAGTTGGTCAAGAAACGCTGGCTCAGAATTTCGAGATGTTCATTCTGGGGACCTTCCTGGAGACACTGCTTCCACTCTTGCGTCGCGTCGAACGTCTGTCCATCTGAGTCGACCTGACTCGAACCTGAGTCGAACCTGGGTCGAACTTGCGTCGAACTTGAGTCGAAATTGAGTCGAGCTTGAGTCGAACTGGGGTCGAACTAGAGTCGAGCAGATCGGTTACGTGAGCCCCAGGAACGTCCCCGAAACGAGCATTCAACAAATTGGTCAAGAAACGCTGGCCCAACTTTTCGAGAGGAGGTTTCTCAATCAGATGCTCGACTGTGTACGCCCTGCGGTCTGGACTCCAGAGCGCGAACCCGTGCATGCGCGGTCGCATGGACACGTTCTGCGCGGAGCATCCGCGAAGACACGCCCCGCATCCAAGGGGTCGCGGGCAAAGAGCCTGGCCCGAGAGGCCGTGGACGCGGATATGGACCCCGCTTTCGACTCCCCTGGGGAAGCCAGAAAGGTACCGCAAGGCCCGCCACGCGCAAAGGCCTCCTCGGCGCGCATCCTTCTCCACGCGTTCCGGAACGGCCTGAGTGCGCTCCGGAAAGCTCTGGAGCGGATCTCTCCTCGTCCCACAGCCCCGTCCGACGATCGCACCCACGCCCCAGGGGCACCTCCAGCACCCCCGGCTTCCTGGCGAGCTCCCTCGCCGCTTGGCGGCGCGCACACGGGATCCTCTGCCTCCTCCCTCGGGGGAGCCAAAAAAAACTGATACTGCTACTCCCCCGGACCTGTCCCGGGGTGCGCTCCGACGACCAGTTTGAAGCGAATCTGGCCGTGGCGACGAAGACATCTCAGGAGGCCCGAAAGGGCCAAAACGTGTTAATGGTAGCGGTATCGGTACCTTTCCCTCCCTCGACGCATGGACGCAAGCCCCCCGCGTCCTGCTGAGGACACGAGGCGCCCTGGGGGTCGAAAACAGGTACACGAACGCGCAAGGGCGCCCTGTCTGGACGTCCCCCTCGCGACGGGCCCACTCGGGGAGCTCGCACAGCAGCTCTCAGAGCGGTCGCCTCCGCTCACACGAGCGGCTGTATGCATCGGCAGCCCGCTCTTTACCACGACCGGTGATCCTCCCCCCAAGTCTGGATGCCGACGAGGAGACGGATTGGACGCCCGAAACGGGAACGGAACAGACGAGCACGATGCCCAACATCAAACGTTCCCAAAACCGACAGCGGCCGCTGTTGAGCAGGCGGCCTTTGGTCCCAAATGGACAACGACCGCGGCGACGCTGACAACGAACCCTGTTCAGAATGAACAGGAACTGCTGTTGAAAATTTGTAGCTATGTTTCCGTACTGATTGCGATCGTCCCGACAAGGGGGGCGGAGGGCCAGCGCTTTCCCGGGGGCCGAGAGCCTCATCCTCTGCAGCGTCCCGGCCCACAAAAGTTCGGGTGCGTGGGGTCACAGCGAAGATAAAGGGCAGGCTGCCAACGCGATACCGTGCAACTTGATACGTATAATCGGCTCACGCCTCGCTATGAAACTGTGGTCAGAACGAGACTGGGGCCCTGCGCGCTGCGAATTGGAGTCGAAAGTCGCTCGGCTGTGGATGGAGGCCACGGGCGTAAGAGGAGAGAAGGAGTAGTGCGAAACTGGGGCAAGATCAGCGCACATGACGACACCGACTTCGAATGGTATCCAGGGGGCGTGAGCACTTCTCTGCGGAAGGTGCGCCCAAACAATACTCGCGGACAGGCGCAATGCAATGAAGACAAGATCATGCCGACGACAACAACTTGCTCGAAAGACCCACAATAACAGCGTGCCGCGGGTTGTGTGAGAGACCGGGGTGATCGCGCACGCGAGTCGCAACACGACTGCGGCGGCGATCGGCTCGCAAGCTCGATACCCTGTGGACGCGTCGGAACTCTGGGATTGCAAGGCTGCCACAGACCGAAACTGCGGGTTCTGGCCGCGCATCGGATTTATCAGAACTGCATGCTCAAACCTTCACAGCCCAGGCGCGATGGCCCCGGATTTCGACTGCATTGGTTCAAGTCCATATGCCCAGGATTATGTTTCCATATTCCGATGCTCTACAGCCCAGGCACGGTGGCGGGAAGGACCGAAGACCAGTCTATAGGTTCGACTATGCTGTGCTGTCGTCAGTCCGTACACGTGTCATATTCTTATATAAGTGGTCGTCCACATCAAGCCCAGATACTGTGTCACAATGGTGCCACAACCATCCTGGAAACACACTACAAACATATATGATCTTGGTGGATCAACCATTTCCAAACTTACTGTGTCTTCGTATCGCAGCACTAGTCGATGTCTTACACCAGGAACAGCACTCCCATCGTGATGCCGACTCATGGGTATTGCTGCAGACATGGAAGCAAGCAGTGTAGTGACTACACCTTCTTGTGTGAACATTCATACGGTGGCACGTCCACAACTGTCAACTGCGTGGCACAACATCAAAGCGAAACGTGCAATAACACGGTAAAGGAGCTTTCATTGAGGACTTTGTGCTTTGTGCTCTGAAAATGGTTGCGTTGCCATGCCTCCCCCTGTCTTTCTCTCTCTCTCTCTCTCTCTTGTTGTTCTGTGTGGACTGGTGGGTGGGTAGAGGTAGACTGACTGGGAGAACATAATCTCACGCAAAGCCAGGGCTCAAGCTGCCACTGACGAGATTCACCTCCTAATGCAATGCCTACCTTGGCTGACGAGCTGTACCCACGCAGTGGCAAGGACCACTAGCACCTCAACAGCGGACAATTTGCGGAAGTAGGGCCCAATAATGATTTTGCAGGGGGCGGCAAAATCAACCACATTTCTAGCCTCTCGTGGATCCGTTTGATTGTTTTTTTGCTGCCCCAGGGTCCATGGCGGGAGTTTGGGCAACCACTGAGATGGGAACTCGGGCCTATTCTCAAACAGAGTGGGCAGGCAACGGATGGAAGGCGAGGAGGAACATGAGTAGTTCGTTGACTCGTGTATTGGGTCACGGTGTAAGAGAAGGGGACGTACGTTTGGACCCTCCATTATGAACGTCATCTTTGGCCGAGGGCCCATACAAGAGTCCTCGGTGGCCTACAGAGCGTCCGAGATGGCCCAAAAGGCGTCCAAGATCGCCCGAGAGAGAGAGGGAGAGAGAGAGCTGAAGAAAATAACAATTTCAAAACGCGAAGCACTGCCGGCAACAGCCCTTTTGAGCCGGAGCCCGCGTGCTGGGGGCAGAAGCAGGACGAGCAGAAGGGACAGTTGCTGCGTTGAGGGGAAAGGACAGGCGGGAGACCAGCTCGGGGGGGGAACATCGACCTAGAATACAGTCGGAACGAAGCCCCTTTTTCCCAACTGAATCCACGAAATCTGAAGGAACGGTCAGGGACCACGGAAAAGGAAACGGAACGCATGCAAAGCTAAAGAACGACCGAGCCCCTTCTGAAACGTAAGTCTTCCTTGTTCTGCGCCCCAGCGGTAGGCGACACCTCGCTGGCAGATCGGCGACAGGCCTCCGATAGCGACACGTCTCGGTGGCGGGTGGGGTGGGCCATCATGCCTCCATCGGCGATGACGGGGCGATTGAGAGCCGACGCATACCCCCCCCTCCCCCTGAGCCTCTCCGATCCCCCCCCCGACGTTGCCCTCCAAGGAAGTCTTGCTGCTTCCCCGGCAAAAGTGCAAAGAAAACCTGGGCTGTGACGCTGCACCGTGGCGCGTGCCCATCTGTAGACACGGCGTGCGGACTTCAGCGCTCCGCCAGAAGGGTGGCAAGACGATGCTTGCCTCCAAAGTGCCCGCACTGCTGCCGACTGAGATGCCGCGCGCGGATGGACACCCCCTCGGAGGCCATCGTTGCGACCACCAGTCCACTCCCCCGACCCCCGTCCGATCTCGTCGGGAAGGAGGGTGGCCAGGGGGAGCGGGGAAGGAGAAGCAATGCCCGTCCTCCCTCTCCTCCTCTTGTGTCCTCCCTCCCCATCCCGCCTGTTCATCCTCCTCCTCCTCCGCATCCTCCGCCCTCACTTTTCCTCCTTCTCCACATTCCTCCTCCTCCACCTTCCGCCACCTGTTGCTGCTGCTTCTCCTCCTCCTTCTCCCAGAACATCTCGGGTCAGTCGATCCCCAAAGAATCCTGAGACCCAGAAAAGCGCCCAACACGTCCCCCAAAGCGCCGGAGCCGCTCAAGAGACATCGGACGTAGCACAGGATAAGACAAAGAAAAAGACGAATGATAACAATAATCAATTATTCTGCTTCAAGGATCCCGACCCGAGAACCCGAGGCGGGATACTCAGGGAACGCTGGGACCCCTTGCGGCCTAGCGGCAGCGGCGCATGCGGCCGTTATTCGTCGAAGGCGCGAAGCGGAATACTTGGAAAGCGCAGAGGCCCTTGGGGCACGGCGGCCACAATATGCAAGGTGTGCAAGGCGGTTCGGGAGCTTTTTTCTTCAACCTCATAACTAACCCCATACTACCAGACCAACCGTGACCCTCTCACCATCACCCTCCACCCTCCTGGCTCCCCTCCACTTTTCCCCTCCGCCTCCTCCCAGATCCTCCCGGGGCAGACACGAGAGACAGAGAGAGAGAGGAGGAAAAAAAAAAAAACAGGGAAAAAGGCGAGGCGAGACGAGCGCGCGAGCTCGGTCTGGCGGGACCGCTCCTCATAAGGCGGCGCGGGGGGGCCGGAGCCCTCAGGAGACGCGTTGGGGGCAGGAGTCGGAGCCGGACCCGGAGTCGGAGAGATGGAAATCGGAAGAAGTCGGGGAGGTGTGAACAGGAGCCGGAGATACGACCAGAATGGGCAGAACAGGTACCACTGGAGTCGGGGAAGCATTCCAGATCCTATAGGTTGTAGTGTGCGTAGGCGAATGTCATAATATCGTCTTCTAGATTCCCCCATAACTGCTGATATGCTGCAATTGATAACCATTTGTTGTTGTGTTCCTGGTCGTCGCGGTCTTCACACATGCCCGCGGCGCGTAAGAAATGTTGTATGTCCCCTGCCCATGGCTTTCGTTGACCTCCATGCTGCCGGTGCGCTGGGCGCGGGTCGTGTGCGCTTGGCTCCCACGATGCAGCTAAGAAAGCCCATCTGTCGCAATCATGTGTCGCCACACGGGATGCCCACTTCCATTTCCGTTTGAAATGTAGAACAACCATTATTCCACTTGGGCTCGGGAAGCATGGTCCGCGGCTTCGCGCGTGGCTCGTCGAATGTAGTCGGCCCGTGGTTCCTTTCCGTCATCATTCCTTTCGTCGCTGATGTTGGCTGTGTAGTTCGGGTTGTTTGCTGTGTCAGCGTCGGTCATGCTGTGTTGGCGGTCGTCGTCGGAGGTGTCGGGCGAGTGATGGTGTTGTTCGTTGCGTTTCCGCGGTGCTCCTGTGACAAGCCTGTGCATTTTCCGTTGGACGCGCCTGGGAATGAGAAACATCTCCTCTGTCAGAGTCCAGGATGAGCAGCCGTTACAACACGGATGGCGTGACAGTGCCATTTAACAACCTCAGTCTACTATGGAGCGGGTGGGGATTGTTAGTCAAATCGTAACGAAGCTGATTGAAACGGGCCCACGTTGTGGCAATCCTCTTGTGCAGCTCTGTGTCATGAATGCAATGTAGAATGTTGATGTTGTCACCATTGATGCCGACATGGGTGATTGTTCTCACCTCTCTCGGGTTAATGTTCGTCAGGATATTCGTCCTCTCCGGTTGCAACAGACCATATTTAGCTGCGTGGGCTTGCGCGTGTCGAAGTAAGCAGGTGAGCTGTCTTAGGTCGGTGGTGTACACCGACACGTCGTCGTTGAAACGCAGATTTGTAATCCGCGCTTGTGCTGAGAAGCCAAGGTGGATCCCAATTTTCTTTCGTAACCAAAGAGGTTTCACTTGTCTGAACACGTGCTCTAGAACAGCGTTGAAACAAAAAATAATTCAGCGGGTCTCCCTGTTTAACGCCCCATTCGATACTGAAGGCTCCGATGTTGGTATCCGTCCGAACTGTACCAGTTTGGGTGCTATATACATGTTGCAGGAAGGTGGTGCAGGCGGGAGGTGCACGTTGCTGTCGTAGAGCGTCCCACCTACAGTCGTGGTCAACACAGTCAAACGCTTTCTTGAAATCTATTGCGGCGGCCCAGAGCGGCAGCTGCCATTCGTAAGAGCTCTCATGAAGCATTGCTGTGGTGAACAAGTGGTCCACTGTGCAGTAGTTATTGCGGGAGCCTGCCTGGTCTGGGCGTTGTTGCGAGTCGAGCAAAGCGCTGAGCCGGTTGCAAAAGAGGCGAGACATCAGCATATACAGCAGATGGGCGATGGCAATTGGTCTGTAAATGCCCGGTTGTTTGGGGTCACCAGACTTGTGCATTACAGTGATGGCGGTGCTCTTCCATTGGTCTGGCGGGGGGCGATCAGGCTTGATGGTGTCGTTGCATAGTCGAAGTAGATGGCGCTGTGAGGTGGCGCCTCCTGCTTTGAGCAATTCTGCCGTGAGCCCATCTGTGTCGCTGCACCTACCGCTGTTGAATTGTTGTATTGCTTGATGGAGCTCGCGTGCTGTGAAAGACGGGATGGTCGAGTCGTCGTGCGTGTGCAGGTGGGCATTGCCGGTGCTGGCTACGCAGTGCGGGTCCTTGTGCAGCTTCTCGTAAAAAGTAGCAGATACGTCTGCCATGCTTTGTCTATCTGTCTCGTCGATACCTTCAGCTGTCGTCATTGATGGGATCACATCTTTGTGCTTGAGCGTTTTCAACCCAGATAGTTTCTTCAGTCCTTTGAATTGGCAGACGATCTCTTCGAGCTTGGCATTCATCTCGGCACGCTTGATAGCCTTTGTCAGTCGAAGAATTTGTGTGCTAAGGGATCTTCGTGCAATTGTGTCTCGTGGCGCGGTTGCGCGAACTTGTTGGATGAAGGCCTTAAGCCATGCTGTCGGTCCGTCGTTGGCGCATCCTTGAAGGTCTCCCGCTGGTAACCCTCACTTCCAAGCTTGAGCCCTACACCAATGTCTTGGTACCTACTGTCTATGTCGGCGTCGTGGTTGTGGTCGCTCAGATGCTGTTGCAAGCATTGCTGGAATAATGGGTCGTCGGTTGGGGGATGGGATCGCGTGCCGCGGCGCGGTTGCTTCCGTTTCCTCTTTCTTTTCGTCGTGGCCTCAAGGGCCATCTTGACGTGCACACCTTGGTGATCGGATCTGAGGTCTGGAACGTTGGAGGCGTACGAGTCGACGACCACTTGGCATCGTCGTGTCCAGCCAAAATGTACTCAAGGTGCGCCTGTGTCGAGTTTTTGTCACTCCTTGTGTAGGTGATCAAATTGTGGTAGCGTTTGTATTCGTTTGTAATGACCATTTTCCGTGTAGTAGACCATGCACGGAGCCATGTCCCTCCTGGGTTGCACAGACCCAAACCAAATTTGCCAGTGTGTCTTCAGCTCATGTGATCTGCACTTTCGTCGTCGCCCCCTTATCATCATGTATATTGGATTAGATTGGCAGGCTGTCTGCCCACCTGCGATTTGAAATCTCTAGCAATAGTCCATGTCTGCTTGGATTGCACGGCCTCGTCGTGGATCGTTCCCAAATGGTCGTACATATGCTGCATGTGTAAATCCGCGTAGCCAGAGTGGGGGAAACATGCCGTCACGATTATGATGTGCTGCTTGGGGAAGTTGATGTCGATGTAAACGATTCGCTCGTTGCTGACTTCGAAGCGCTTGACCTGTTGGACGCGTCGCCGATGAACGAGAAATTCAACTCCACGTGACGCATCCGCATGGCCCGATGCTGCGAATAACTGCTTCCCGCGTTCTGTGATCCACATCTCACGAGATTCCGTTCTCCATGTCTCGTTGATGGTCAGTGCATCCCAATGTACGCCGTCCAGTTCGTGCAACAGTGCATCTATCAAGTCGTCAGTTGTCAGGCTTCGTGCGTTTTTGTGTACGATGGTGAATTATTGGGTTGGCGATGGATGCGGTGTTGGAGTATGCTGGTCGTGTTCACCACCGCCATCGCTCTCCCGTGGGTGGTTGCGGTGTGTGCCGACGGGGGCGTCGCCGTCGACTGTGTTGTATTTGCATCGTCCTCCTCAAGTGCTTCTCAGGTTGGGCTGGCGTTGCTGCTTTCTTGTGCTATTGTTGCTGCTGTCCGGTAGTGAGCGGTGGGGTTGGTCGATGGTGGCAAAGGCAAGTCGGAGATCGATCGGTGGAGGTGGTGGTGGTGTGAAGTCGGATGGTGATGGCTGGAGGTCGGAGAGTTGGGTTGGCAGAGGCCGGCGGCTAGTAGGTTGAGGTGGACGTGGGAGGTCGGGTGCTTCAGGCAGGCGGTGGGGGCGCTGCGATGGTGAAGGTGAGAAGCCGATAGGTGGAAATGGTTGTCGTGGGAGGTCGGGTGCTGGAGGCTGGAGGTCGCGAAGTTGGGCTGTCAGAGGTCGAAGGTCGAAAGGTGGAGATGGTGGTGGTTGGAGGTTGCATGCTCCAAGCTGGAGGTCGGGGCCAGGAATTTGCGAGAGCTGGAGGTCCATGCGCGGTGGAAGTCGGAAGTCGGGGGCTGGAGGTGGGGGCGTGGAAATGGTGAAGGTTGAAGGTCGATAGGTGGAGATAGTAGTGGTGAGAGGTCAGGTAGAATAGGGAAGTGAGGTGGAAGCTGGAGGTCTGAAAACTGAGGTTGGAGAACGACTGGTGTAGGCTGGAGTCGGAAGCCGGCTGCCGCCGGTTGGAAATCTGAACGATAACCTGGCCGGTGTCGGTAGCCCTGTTCGTGTAGATGCAACGCCGAACCAGCGCAGATATGAGTGGAGCTCGTACCTGAGGTTGGAAGGGCATGGTGTCGAAGTCCC